CGACGTCGATGGAAGAATTCGGTTCGGTAAACCTCGACTTTTCTTTCTAATGGACGGCGTTATGCAAGAATGAATCTTTACTAATATTAATATTATAAATATGAAATTGCATTTTGTTATTTATTTTTTATCTTTAGAAGGTAAAACAGTGACTATAAATAGTAAGTTCACATGAATATAGTCGTAGTTAAATAGTTTAAGAGTAATATAAGCTTCTTTTTCTCTCAGTACTTTAAGTGTACAGCAAAAAGACTAAGGAACACCTCCTGAGCGAAAAAGAGGTGTTACTGTTAAATCTTAAATGATTAAATGCTTAATTTTTGTATGTATATATATATAAAATTTTTTAGTGTATCTCGGAAGCTCTTGTTTTGCAAGGTTTTGCTTTTTAAGTTTATTTTCCTTTATCTATCTGCTCTCAAGCTGATATAGCGCTATCTCGTATATGTTTATGTTACTTGCATTGTCGCCAATGGATGATATCATAACCTATCCAACGAGTGTCTACGCCGAGCGAAGCGAAGTTCGCCTACGTACTTATGAAGTAATGATGTGTAAAGATGTGTCTAAACTTGTTACTTTTTCAAAACTAGCATTTTAGTGTTGATCCTTATTTTTTTATGAATTTTAATTAGAAAACGACATTAAAGTACGGTTTTGACAACTGATACACGATATAATTTGTCGATAGTTTTGACAAAAATGATAATATTTTTATTTTCAAGGACTATTAAGGAGAAACGTCATAATTTTACAGATTTTTTTAAACGTGTATAGTAGTTCGCTTTATGTTTTAAATACATAATATATACATTAATATTATACACTTTTGCATAAAGCTGTTATACGTGAAATCTCAACTCGTAAGTTTCCTTTAAATAACGGTATGTGTAATGCACCTTCGTAAAATGAGAGGTTATTTTCTTTAACACATTTGCAATAGAAATATAAATATGAATTTAGTCCTACTAATAATATATATACATATATAAAAAATGTGGAAATGTTTTGATGTTTGTTACTCAATCACGAGGAAATCATTGAACAGATTTCTATGAATCTTAGCGCACAGAAAGACTGAGATCTTGGATTAACATAAAATCCCCGCTATTTTCTGTAAATGTGCAGTATATTTTTTATAAAGTAAAAAATTAAAAAACGATAAATAAAATTTAAAAAAATATATACGTATCTTATTCAGGAATGGGTTCCCGTGGTAGTAATGAATTATAATTATAATTTATCAAGTACATTATCGTTCTGATTATATCTAAAAGTCTGATGGCACTGCCAAGGAATAAAGATATAAGTTGATACGACACGCTTGGCTCAGCTTATAGTAACCCTACTTGCTGTGCCTGTGGTCGCGGGTTCGAGCCCGCTGAGGGCATTCATTTGTGTGATAAGCACAAATGTTTGTACTCCAGTCATGGGTGTTTATATTTATAATATGTGTATTTAAATTTATATATGTGTAGTGTATCAACTATCTGGTATCCATAACGTAAGTCTCGTAGCTTACCATGGAACTCGATGTTGCAGTATGTTAATGTCCCAACATATTTATTTATGAAGTACTTTTTACACAGGTGAAGCCAGGAAAATAAACTAGTCTTGATAAAAATATCTGTACACGTACTATTTTAACAGGTAAAGCTTCATACATAATGTATCTCACAGCAGATGTGTATCCACCTCATTGAATTTCGTTTCCGTTATTCTTTTTATTTTTAGATAAAGGGCGGAAGTAGTATGCCAAATGTACACCCGTACATTTGGCATACCTTACCTTTGAGTGTATCTAAGCCAGAGGTCGTGGGTTCGAACTCCGTTTAAGGCAGTTTTTGTACCATATTTAGATCTTATTACAAAGAAAAGTTTAAAGTGACATGTTTTTCTCTATCAAAATCAACACAGCTACAAAAACAAAACAGACAAACAGATTTAATTTTCCATCAATTACAAATTATAGTATCTTTTAATAATATAATAATAATATTTTAAAATAAATTATTTTACTTTAATTATACAAGACTAGCGACTAACCCACGCTTCGCTTCGGGTTCGTCCCTAAACAAAAACAAATTTACCCTCGGAAACCGTTCATTTTTCCGAGATAAAAAGTAACCTATGTGCTATTCCAGACTATAATCTATCTCTGTGCCAATTTTCATTCAGATCCGATCAGCCGTTCTGGCGTGAATATGTTACAAACATCCATCCATCCTCACAAACTTCCACATTAACATATATTATTAGTATGGAAGTAAGGTATTTTTAAATATTTTCCAATAACTAAGTTTATGTTTCAAACTATGTTACATATATGTAACATTAATGACTTACCGTCATACTAATCTAACGTTAGCTAATGAGTACCGAACTGTTAAAGTTGAGACTGCTCTGTACTTTTCTCATATATTTTCGTTAGTTATAACGGTATAATTAACAAAATAACGATACTATAATTAGTGAGAGCGAATAAATTTAACAACTTTCGACCTAATTTCGAAATTGTATTCTAAAGCGATATTTGATGATCATTTGTAATAATTTTATAATTAATATTTAACAAAATATATACATGCACTAGCGAATCACGCTCGCTCCGCTCGGGTTCGTCTCTAGTTACGTTTTAAAGTTTGAAATAGATTTCTCAGAGATGAGATATTTTCTCGCAGTAAAACGTATCCTATATGTTGACCCGGATAACCAGCTATCATCATACAAAATTTCATCAAAATCTGTCCAGTGGTTTTCTCGTGATGCGTTCCCAGACAGACAGACAGACAGACAGACAGACAAAAATTCTATAAACTATAGATTCGGTCTCTTATTGATAATAATATCGTATTTCAATAAGATTTTCCAAAAAATATTTAATGTACAAATTCGACTCAGAATTTTATTATATGTATAAAAAATGTACTATTTGTTACTAAATGTGGCCACCCACTGGTCGAAATTCGACCATTAGGTATCATTGTTTTTTAAAACACAAAAGCTTGTCAATAGCTACTAAACAAAAAAAAGAAAATCATTTGACAAACAGAGGAGAAAAAGGTACTAAACTGTTTTGTCTTTACCTATTTATATATATAACTAGCATTGCCCGCGGCTCCGCCCGCGTTCAGATGACCAAAAACTAAATTCTTAGGTGTTACATATTAGTATACTCTTACATTGCAGTTTTTGTATTTTTCCTCAGAAATAAGATATTTTCCCGCGGTAAAAAGTATCCTAGGATCGCGCGCTACATCGCCCGGTTTATATAGCTTGAGCAGGCGGTCGAGCGATGCGGGGCAGAGGGGATGGACTCGCCGTAGGCATCTCAATGCTCGCCAAGCATTAAAAATGTTTCGCTACTAATTACTTCTAACAACGATATCTCAAAAACTATTCATCTGATTGATTTAGTGTAAAGAGCAATTTTAATCTGCATTAAATGACTAAGCTAACTAAAATATTCATTTGGATAAGGATTAATACCGAACTAAAGAAAATAACTTTGAAAATAACGTAATGTTTTTAATTAAAAATGTTAACATAAAAGTGGTTATTGTAAGTCAACCGTAAGAGATAGAGATATGCTATCGCGGACTTTTTTGTAGCATTTTTATAGATTTTGAATTCTCTAGTACATTACTTAACTGTATCTTTGCTAGTTTACGCGGCGTTCGCGTGGAAAGTTCCCATTTGGCGAGATTTTTTGCGACCTCTTCAACATTTGTCGCCGTATTTCAGCTAATTTACATAAAAGCATAATAAATTATATACCTAAACCTTCCTCAAGAATTACTCTTTCTATTGTTGAAAACCGTATAAAAATCCGTTCAGTAGTTTTCGAGTTTATCGCGTACAGACAGACAGGAGGACAGACAGGAGGACAGAAAGACGCGGCCGGGGGACTTATTTTTATAATAAGTATAGATGTAAATATTTATTCAAACCAATAGATAAATTATTCAAACACAATACCCCTTCTTGTACAATGGTTAAGTATAATAGCTGTATCCGTTCGCGCACGATGATGTATGGTCTACAGGAAATTAATGTAATGTCACATGTTAGTCTTCACTTACAATCATATATCTTATTTTTAATAGTCATTGTGTTCTTTTTAAGAGGGTATTACGATCTGTCTTTATCTATACAGGTAAATAAAATTGAAGTATCTGTTTATATTGTCGAAATAAAAACTCTTTACTTTAATGCTTATTATGAAATTATAAACGGTACTTATGAGAAAAACACAATTTTTATATTTTTTGTCTGTCTGTTTGTTTCGGCTAATCTCCGAAACAGCTGGACTGGATTTGGAGGGTTTTTTTTGGATTTTGATGTTATAAGGAGTAACTTTTGTTTTAGAAAAAAGAATTAAAGTTTCGCGCACAAAAATTAAAATCTAACTAGAGACGATCCCGAGCGAAGCGAGAATGAGTCGCTACTATAAATAATACTTGTTTATGCAAAACCAGAAAAAGAGGTTTTCATTGATTGCTTTAAAATCTTGACACATATAAGTGTTTTAAAATAGAGAAAGATTTTGTACCATTCATAGTGATGTAAATACTCAATAGATGGCGCTACCACTAATTAACCTCTACGCCGTCAAATCGATCGCCTTGAAAAACACTACACATTGATTTTGACTGTTATGGAAGTATTCAATTCAATTTTCTTGTTAATCAAAAAAAGGTTCAAAGAGTGCCAGTTGAGTACAGATTACTTCGCCAATGTCACGTGGAATAGGGGAATATTGTCGCATTACCCATTGACGTTGCAGTCACAGGCAAGGACTAGTATTTGTGTCTGGACTTACGACTCGAACCCGCTACCCCAAATATTGTGACACGTAGAGGTGTAAAAGGAAATATAATTCTAAAAACTTGGCTACAGCGCCATCTATCGCATCCTAGTATTATGTACTTAATACTTTATGGTGTGAATTACGACATCACCCATCGTCAACTCATTTACTCGTTTTACTACGGTAAAATATGAGTAGTATAGTATCTAAGCCAATTTTTAAGTTGTTACGTACGAGTATGTTATAACAACGTTAAAAACATCAAGTTTGAGAGCCTAAAATGAAATTCTAAGCTTTCTGTCTTAAGTACACGTTTACATAAAAGATCAAAGAAGATGAAACATTAAAAACAATTTAATATAACGAATCTGATTGTGCAAAACATTTCAGCTTACGTCTCCGTTCGAACAAAAGATGTATTTACAAATCGTTATCTAACTCGAGTTTACGCTTAGATTGAATGTCAGCGCTATTGTAGTGAACCAACTGTACTTATGGTAGTTGAGTGTCGATAAAATAATTAATGCTCAATGTTCATACTAGCTTTTGCCCGTGCCTTTATTTACATATTAGTTTATAAATTATGTCTGTATATCTTTTAAGATAATAAGATTTTTCTCTTAAGATATGAGATAGCCTTCATATAGCTATAATTTAGCTATAAAATTAAAAAAGAATTTTTCAAATCGGACTAGTAGTTTCAGTGAGTTTAAGCACACAGAAACCTCTTTAGCTTTTTAACAATGTTACAATAAGTAAACTGCAATTTATTGGCAAAATGACAAATAATAGACATTTCAAGTATTTTTGTGAAATTTTCTTGGTTCAATCATTAGTTTTTTAGTGATTTTAAAGTTATGAAAGACAGAAAACTTTAACTTAACTTTAAAATAAAATACCTCCATGATTTAACTTAAATATTTTCCCAAAGACTACCAAGTTACAAAACAACAGATATCAGAATAGTGAATAAGGCACTAATAGTGTAGTGTATGTGTAATAGTGTAGTGTAGTGTATATTTATTAACAAAAATCACTTTTGTTCCAGCTAAAACATCAACAGACGATTCAACTGTACGACATACGCTGGAATTCACAGTAACACGAACAGAGTTGGGAGGCGAGCTGATGTGCAACGTGTCCTCTGTAGCGCTGGATAGACCGATCTTAAAACGAGTGAAACTTGATGTTAAAGGTAAGTCTTTGATTATAATTAATACTAAATTAATTAATCTCGTTTAGTAATTTCCCATTTTTGGGGGTGGGCCTTCCTCGCGTAAAGATTGCGAGAAGGATCAGGGCTTAGTCCACCATGCTAGTTGTCAGATTTCACATGTCTTCAGAAAACTTGCTAGATTCTCTCAGACATGGAGATTTCCTCACAATGTTTTCCTTCACCGTAAATGATTTTAATGTTGAAAATAATGTGCACATGAAAATATCAGAAGTACGAGATTCGGTATTTGGACCCAGTTCACTTGGATTCCGAAGCAAGCGCGTTATCATTTCTACAACTACCACTGTCCTAAATCAATTAGTACATAATATTAATTAAAATTTCAAGGTTTTCGTACAATTTTCCTATCAAAACTATCAATTTGAACTTCCTCAATAAAGTTTGTTTAAAGTTATTTATAAGCATGTAATAATAAGCTTCCATTAGAAGTTATATCGTAAAATGTTTATAAAAAATTTTTTTATATCTTCCATGGGTCCATGGGTAAATAGGAAAATTTTGGCATATTCACATGGATATTCTGCTTCTTTAGCGAAAGAAAGTTTTAAAATGCTAAAACTCTTAGTTACATTGCTCATAAGCAAACATACACAATTTATGATCGTCGATCGATGTATCGTATTAAGTAAAAGATAAAATTTATTCAAAGAACAAACAAACCCAGTATACATAGTATGTTAGAAATACCTGATCGACTTGTTATTAAATCAATATAGTTTCGCGTAAAGGGCGAAATTAGATTGTGAATAGATTTAGGCACTAAACAAACAATTCTGAAACAGGTTAATAAAGTTTAACTTAGGTGGGCCTTAATTGAGTTGAGGCAATGTAAGCGGTTTCAACTTACTATGGAGGTGTACCCTTTAAAGTATAACATATCGGACACTCCAAAATATTTTGACGAAATCAAGTAAAGCTGGTTCAAAACTGGGCTCATTTAAAAGGTTTAACACCGATATACCGATATATTGGTAACATTAAAAATGATGAACCGTCAAATAAATTTTCATCGTCTGTTGTTTTAAATAAAAAACTGTTCCTTAGTGCTTCAACTCTTTATATAGGCAAATTTTGTGCCATTTTTTAATCATCAAAACACAGCTATTTAGGCTGAATGTCATTCAGTTTGTGTTAGTGTTATTAAATTATTGTTTTTTTACACTCAAATTCTACCGCTGAAACCTAACAATATCTTTCTAACCCATTTCAGTTCGACCTCAAACTCAAACCTAGGTCCTCCGGATCTGCAGCCGTACTTTAGTCACTAGACTAACAGCCTAATTTACTACCAAGTCACAACATTCAACCAAAAATATTATTTAAAACAACTTGCTAAAAGGTGCAATTAATAATATTATCTTCTCCATCAAATCTTCTTAAAACTTTGCATTTCCTTAAATTCCGAGCCTAGTGACATTTTACGTTTTTCCCCGGTTTAATTTCGCGGAGAAATAAATTTCCATTAGGAACGTTTCTTGATACCAGCGTTATTAATGATCGTAATTATACGCAGATAAGGGACGCTATAGCTGTTTGAGCTAATTTTTTTTGGCAATCAAATTGCTTTGAGTTTTTACTTGGCTATGGTAAAAAATGGCTGATTTTAATTATTTGTCTAATATTTTTCAGTATTGAATGATAATTGGGAAACTGTTCTACTTAATATTATAATTGTGAATGTTTTCTGTTTGTTTTACTTTTTACGCTTAAACCGCTAAAGAAATTTTGATGAAAACAAGGACATATGCTATATTTTAGTCAAGTGGAGCCGTAGGTAGAAACTAGTATGCTTATAAATCTTTACGAAATCCACTAACCATTAACTTTTTCCATAGTTATTGGGTGGTAGACACGAATTATGCCAAAAAAGTGTTTACCATAAGCAAGATTTTGTAGCAAATAGCAATTTTTTTAATTTGTTTTTAGGTACATCATTGTGAGTTCATCTATACTAACATTATAAAGATAAAAAAAATTGGTTTGCCTATACAGAATAAGCTCTGAAACTACTGGATCGATTTAGATGAAATTTAATAAAAAATAGTTTGAGACCCTCGGAAAGACATAGAATAGTTTTTTTTTACCGGAAATTATGCCTTAAGGGGGTAAAAATAGCAATGGAAGTTTGGATTATAACGCAAGAATAATTAAGTTTAAAAAAAATATTACACATATTACACTACATGTTATCTTTGAAAAATTCTTTATTTTTACACTTCAAAATATTGACGAGATGAGTTTGTATTTATTCAGATAGCTTTGTACGTAAGAATGATATTACATACTTTAATGTCAAAACAATTATCAAAACCTATTTATGAAACCTCGAGAAAATAAACATACATATTTACATATTATGTATTTACTTGTTGAATACAGAGCCTTTTTTTTGAAATTGGTTTAAAATTATAGATATACTTGTATATATAATTCTAACCCTCAATGATTTATGTCATCATCTGCACGAATCCAAGTGACACCAGTCACATCCTCAAATTCATTTATCACTTCACGTTATATACTCTACCGACCCTGTCGATATTGCAAGGTGGTAAAATTTCCGACCCCTATTCAGATAGTGATGTACGTTTATCGATTATAGTATTTATATTTGTTAATTTTGGAATGTGATTTTTTTGTGTTGAAAAGTGTTTGTGTTTATTTGTTACTTTAACATGCTCGACGGATTTAAATTAAATTCATTTAATACATATAAATATAAATTTAAAAAGCAAAACCTTATCTAAATATGAAATTTGATCCAAATTATTTCAGCCGTTTTCGAGATACACCAAATAAAATATATATACATATATACAAAAATTGGTTATTTGTAATTTTTTGTACTTATCTCATGTGAGTATCAATTAGAATTTCATTTCATTCACACGTTGAAATCAAAACATCCCACGTCTAAATAATATGTTTTGCTTAATAGTACGTTCATCTAAATTATTTTAGTGGTAAGATTATATCTTAGGGAAAAAACCATAGTCCATAATTATTATTGTCACACAAACATAACGTGACTCGTAGTCTACAGTCATTTAAAACTTTATATCAACAAAAATGCGTAGAATAATTTTTCAAAGGCATGTTGCTTCGTGACCTGTCAACACTATAAAGTTTTTACTTTTACTACTATTTATATCGTTATCGTGTAATCTAGTAATAAAGTTTATTAATTTATAAAGCCTAAAGATGTCAAATATAATTTTTGTTTTCTTGAAATGAAAAACCTTTGTTAAAACGTTTAACTGACATTGTTAACTTATAAACAGTGATTATAACTTTTTTCGTTATAAAGAGCGTGACTATTCCTTTTTTGTACCTATGAGAAATATATTATATTCTATACGAGGCTTCGCTCGTGTAACGTGTTTAACAGTGAAAATGAGATAATTTCCGGCGGTAAAATATAGCTTATATCAATCTCCAGTCCTCCAACTATTTCTATATAAAATTACATCAATCCGTCACTAGGTTTTGATGTGAAAGAAGGACAAATGAACACCCGTTTACTTTTATATTCGTATAGTAGTATATGGATTTAACATAATATGTATATTTAATATTATATACAAATTGATATACATTGATACCACAAGAAATAAAATTATCGATGTTTGATATTTAAAAGTTTAAGAAAGATGAAAGATTAGTAATAGAACCTGTCAACTTTAGCCTGTAACAGATAACTAGTATATATATAAATAGCAAAGTATGGATTTCTATCGATAACATTGCACTAACATCACTATCTGAACTATCTTGCCACTTATTAGCAATACAGTCTCGCAATTTATCGGGTGGGCGCAGAAAATTACTTACTATATTCTGAGTTAAGTTGCTTAATACTTTTAAATATTTACTACAAAGCTTCTGGGACTAAAGCTTTTTGACTTTGAAAATTCTGGACGTTTTTATCCCAATTTTCTTTGTACTAAATGATTTATTCTTATATTTTTCTGAATTAACAAAACAACGTTGTATATTATGTTTTAATTGTTAAAAACGTGGATAGTAGTACCTTGTTATCTGACATAGCTCTATAGTTTTAACACAGTGACATTCTGTACTTTGTACTAGTTTTTAATATAATATTATACACATAATTAGCGTAATTCTAGTTCTAGGGTTTTTTTTAACATTGGGAAATGCATTTACGCACGAGGTGTGGGACTCACCGGCAAAGCCAGTACTAACCACTAAAACCCAACAAAACCTTGCCCCGTCTTAATGGGGCGTCGCAGGCTCGCTTACGCATTCAACTACGACGCCCCGACGGCAGGTCTGCCGAAGCAGACCACAACAACGACGAGGTTGCTCCAAGGTCCACTCTGCTATCAGAGAAGTACCAGGAGCAACCCGCATGGTACACCGCCCTCCGAAGAGAGCCTCCCTGTGCGTTTCTTGGCTTCGCGCCCGGCTGTATTGCCAGGCACTACTGAGCCCCCTCCCCCCTCCACCACGACAAGGTGAACGCACGTTGGGGGGGCTAGTTCTAGGGTACTTATCACGATTGCCATATATATTGTTTACTTTCTTTAAAGAATAAGAGATATTTTGTAATTGTAAATAATAAAAATGATACTATAGATGATATATTAAAAAATATATGATTAAATTTAAAACAAAATCTTTTGTATTTTGCATGCTTTTAAAAGTACAAAATATTGAGTAAGAAGGGAAAAGTATTGAGTAGCTTTTGAAATAAATTCTCTCAATGATAGTAAAACTAAATAATTTTTTTTATTGTAGCTTAAAATATCTAACTGCATAAACAGACGAGCAGAACAGCGAATTTATTTTATATTATTACACAAACAAAAATCAAGTAAAACATATTATTTATTGCAAAAGAAATATTTAAAATACGTCGAAATTATAATTTGCGCTTTCAAATGCGTATCATTAAATTTTTTCAATGATTTTTTTTTCAATTTCTCTATTTTGGT